CCTTGAATTGGTGACCGAGTAGGTACACTGTCGTGTAGTCCATAGTATACGATCGTGTAGTCCATACTACTACATACTCTTCAACATACACGACCATGTGTTTCATGGTACAAGACCGTGTAGTTTCGCTAGTACAAGACATGTCACACGGTCGTGTACCTGTGTGGTTAAGGGTACACAACCGTGTATGTAACACCCCCAAAATTCGGGTCTTTGTAAAACGATAAGAGTAACCTTTTTATCTTTCAAAACCAACCATCGAACCTTGGGAGTGTTACTGCTACACTCATACCAGCAGTTTGGTTAAACCTAATGAACTCGTTGTACTTCTATCTCCTGATATGTTCAGGAAAGAAACGATCCCTGATTGCTTTCTTAACAGCCTCCTAGTTAAAGTTCTGTTGAGCTCTTATAGTGGCTCCTTCATTTTCCCACCAAATATCAGCAACCTCACGTAAATAGAAAGTGGCTTGGTCCACCTTCTGAGCATCAGGGGTACCAGCAGCTGTAAAAATCTTGTCAAAGTCACGTACCCAATTTTCAACCAACATGGGATCTTCCTTCCCCATAAATAGTGGAGGTTTCAATGCAGCAAGTTTCTCAGCCATAGCAGCTTGAGGGTCGTTGTCGTTGTTGTTGTGGTTGTTGTTGTTCAGCTGGTTTTGCAACAACATTCCAAGGTTCTGGTTCATTTGCTCAAGAGCTCTCAACCTTGCAGCAAGTTGTTCAGGAGTCTCGGCCATTTGTGCAGTTCTTCTCGAACAAGACCTAGTGTAAACGTTGTAATTTTGCATACACAATCTGCACAATTTCAACACTGGTGTTACCACCATACACATTTTAACACGATTTATTTAGATCGTGTGAATTGCAATTAAATTAACAATCACATTCTTTCATGTAACACATCATTAGTACATATAGACAAGAGTTAAGCAATTAATTAAACCTCGACAAATTCATAGAGTCGGCCAATTTCCAAAACAAATAATGCATCAACTTAGCACTAGACCATAGATTCGTGCATTACTTTTGTGATTCCACTATAATCCAACCCAGTCATTACTATACTTGACTAAAATAAGCATAGGAAAATAAGAGTTTTGTTTTATATAAATGCAATAAAATAAAAAAAATGAAATTATACTACTTTATTAAATTAATTAATAAACATAATATGAAAAATCAAAAATATGTTTATCAAAAATTATTTTATTGCAAAACCAAGGGAGAATGAAAATCATCTTTAAAATAACATACTAGCTAGTTCTAATTAGTTCAATAAACTACTAGTTACAAATAAACTAAAACTATACTATAGTTTCTAATCATAAGAAACTAGCTTTTATTTGTAAAAGTATTATAAAAGATTTAACTAAATAAGCTAAATGCGACTTAAAAAAATTTCAACCATCATTTTCCCCTTGGCTCTCACGAGCTTCATTTTCCTAAGGCTCCTCCTCCTCATCATCATCCAAGTTATAGTCATATTCCCGCTTAGCTTCCATCATCACCTTCTCAAGGTATTCCATAGTAAGGATCCATCTTCCATTATAATAGTATTTATCATTCGGTTGACCTTCAATATATAAATCAGCATACTTCTTCTTAAGTTGAGAATAGGGTCCCCTCACGCATAGTGTGTAAAAGAATTTGAGATCATCTCTCAGGAGTGAGGTAATCGGATTGGCCCTCAAGTACATTGTAATGAAAATGTTCAATGCAAAGATTCAAACGGTAGACATAATGTCGAATGTCTTTATTATACTTCATACGGATCACATAGGGAGAATCGGGTAATACCATTGTACTCTTCCTAGCACTGGACTTTCTTGCAGTTCTACGTTCTCGTACCATCGTCTAAGAAAATAAATAACCACATCATAAGTACTTAATAAAGTACTATAAAACACATAGATCCCTTATCGTGATTCCCACACTCACAACTTTCCTAAGCTTAAATCAATTTACAAAACTTACATGCAAGTTTTAAACCTAAGTCTTTTACTTTAATTCATTTTAGTCACTAATTTAAAAAAAAAACCTTGGCTCTGAATACCAATTTGTAACACCCCCAAAATTCGGGTCTTTGTAAAACGATAAGAGTAACCTTTTTATCTTTCAAAACCAACCATCGAACCTTGGGAGTGTTACTGCTACACTTATTTTCCATAGAAAATAAATGCAAAGCAAAACGAAATACCATTTTATAACTAAGTGATCTAAGTGGCGACAAGAATAAAATAGTCGTTACATCCAAAGTGTAAAACACATTAAAAACATTAGTTTAATTCTGAACTTATTTATTTTCCTTTTTAAATTAATGTTTTTAAAGTGTTTTACAGTTTGGATGTAACGACTATTTTATTCTTGTCGCCACTTATATCACTTAGTTATAAAATGGTATTTCGTTTTGCTTTGCATTTATTTTCTATGGAAAATAAGTGTAGCAGTAACACTCCCAAGGTTCGATGGTTGGTTTTGAAAGATAAAAAGGTTACTCTTATCGTTTTACAAAGACCCGAATTTTGGGGGTGTTACAGTGTAGCCACACACTACTTTCATTCTATGATACATATACATGATCGTGTGGTTGTGCATGGGTTTGGTCCGTAGTTAATGTTTGGGCTTTAGCCAATTCAATTTCTGTTTTGGAGGGTTCTATATATACCCCTTATGCTTATTCCTAGCCGAAAAAGTTGAGTGATTATTCAGAATTTTGAGAGTCTTTTGTGTATTTCTCATCATCTGTGAATTCTGAGAGAGACAACATTAGAATTCCAAGAGACAATGAATTTGTTTTCTGTGATTGGTCTCAAATCTGTTCTGAATCTGTAACTTATTTTCCTTAAGATCAATAAAACATTTACTTTCGCCTGTCCGTAGACGTAGCCAACGCATTGTTGGAGAATCACGTAAATATGTGTCTATTTTTCTTGTTAATATTACATTCAATATTTGTTCTTTCTTGCATCCGTTATAATAATATTATTTATTGTGGACCACTAATATTAGGTTCACTATGTTTAATTGTTGTTATTCACACATAAAGGTCATAATATTAATGGTCATTATGTTAAAACTAAATAAGGGTTATTATATTAAAGCAAAATTCATAGTGTTATAATAATAATATTGGTCAGAAGAGACTAATATATTTAATACTAAAAATTTTAATATACTCGTGAATATGAATAATAAAGGCCACTATGTTCAACATATATAACATCGGCTACACATGTGAACCTCATGTTCACAATAATATTGAAGATTACAAGTTTTGATAAAGATTATATTACTATGTTAAAATTAAGGTCATCATATTCAAAATAACGTCGATTGGTGAATATAAACCTCAGGTTCACAATAATATTATTGTGAACTAGATCCGTACAAGTTTTTTCCGCAGGGAAATCAATGAACTTTATAGTTTTAGTAAGAAGGACAAATTAATGTAAAGCTTAGAATACGATAACGTTCTTTCCTTTCAAGTAAATCTAGATTTTATAAGTGAAACTTTATTCCATAATTATGATGATCTTAAATTGGAAAAAAGATGTTCTTGTAGTTCACATACCTAGAGACTTCAATGGTGAGCCTAATTAAAAAAAAATCAATTATCACCTAAAGTTGATGAGTCCATACGCAAGTAATTGTAGGAAGACTACTCAGTTTTGTTAGCAAAATTATTATGTTTATTTCATACAGTTTATTTAATTATTATGTTTTTTTCAATTAATTAAATTTACTGGATAATTTGTCTAAACTTATTTTATTCTATAGTCATAAATTGAAGTTAGATAACCCTTATTAATTCTTATTTAAACTTAAAACTTATATAAACTACTTTTCCTAATATAGCTAGGTGAACAAAACTTAATCTAATTTACGTCAAGTAATTGATGTCAAGGTAGTCGAGTGAACAATATCATATCATAACTAGATCATAAGGTAGCAAAATCTATTATTTTTTTTTTATGTTTAGACCCGCACAAAATGTGTGATGATCTAGACTTGAATAGTGGCTTGGTGAATAGACTTAATCCCTACATTCCCAAAAAATTCGCCTCGCTTAATGTAGACTCTTCTTCCTAAAATGCATGAAAAAAAGTAACTTGACATAAGGAAAAACTAAGGCCATGTTTAGTTCACCTTATTTTTACTTATTTCAGAAAAAATAAGTTCAGATCAGATTAGAAAAAATAAATTCAGATCAGATCAGATCAGAAAAAATAAGTTCAGATCAGATCAGAAAAAATAAGTTCAGATCAAATCAGATCAGAAAAAATAAGTTCAAATCAGATCAGATCAGAAAAAATGAGTTCAAATCAAATTATTATTATTATTATTATTATTATTATTATTATTATTATTATTATTATATTATTATTATTATTATTATTATTATTTATTATTATTATTATTATTATTATTATTATTATTGATTTATGATGTATCGGATTTGATTTTATCGTTTGTTTGAACTAGCAATATTGTCTACGTTATTAAATAGCACAAACAATAAACGATAATAATTAAAATTTCATTATAAGCTCCAAATCATAAACGTTTACAAATATAATTTTCATTACAAGAAGTTCCAAATTTCCTTCGCTATATTAAGTTGTACTTCTTTCATTACAGCTTTACGATTCTCGTTAAACAAATCATAATCTGCTCTTGGTTCGATTTCTATACCACTATCAATGGGTATATCCAACTCATGTAATCGAATAAAATTGTGAAGTGTGAATGTAGCAACCATAATTGCCAATTGATGTTTAGTGTCCATTTGTGGCATCATTGTCAATATTTTCCATCGACCTTTTAATTGTCCAAAACATCTCTCGATCGTTGTTCGAAGTGAAGAGTGAAGATAATTAAAAAGTTCAAGCATGCCTTGTGGTGGTGGACCATTTCGAAATTCAGGCAAATGGGTTCTAATATCTTTTTCTTTTATTGGACTCAAATATCCAACGGTATTCGGATATCCGGAATCTACTAGATAATATTTTTCTGTTATAAAATAAAGTTATACAGCATATTAGTATAGTGTCATGTATGGAGTAAAAACATACACTATTTTAAATTATACCTGGAGGTGGATGGGGAAATCGAAATTCTGGTACAGTTAAGCAATGGTTCCATACATTAATATCATGAGCACTACCTTCAAATCCAACGTTGATAAACGTGAAAAGCCTATCAAAGGAAAAGGCAGCCAAAACATTCCATGTTTTTTTTCCTTTACGCCCTCGATGTGCCACACCATCATCATCGCTTAAAACTGCATTTATATGAGTCTCATCCAATGCTCCAACACAATCCTAATAGTTCATTAACATTTAGGATACATTTTATAAGTGATTATATATTGCATATGCATAAAATAATATAATGACAATGCAAGATAATAATAATGTTTCTTAACACCTTGAAATATGGCCAATATTTTGTGCTGTCACCTATTTTTTTTGGCACCACGGTCAAACTTTGGTATGGTCTTATGATCTCGGTAGACAAATGAACCATTTCTTCCAGTACTTGTTTAAAGTACAACCCAATTGTTGCAATAGAGTGCGGAAATCGACCGACAGCATCACGATAAGAACTGCCTTTAGCCATGATATATAAAAATATTCCTAATTGCTCTGCCACAGATATGTAACGACCATCCGATAATAAATTTTTATTTTTCATGCAAGTAACAACATCCACAAATATGTTTCTATCTAATCTCAATTGTTCTTTGCATAAATCAGGATGGGCATGTAGTAGTCTGTTTATGTATTCGCTACCAGATTCTCCACCTAACCTTAGAGGCAATCTCTCAATTGGTGTAAGAAGTCTCTTGAGCTCTTCCAATGCGATAATTGTCAAGCACATTGGAAGTGTGTTATCCATTCTACAACATAAACCAACAAAATACCAACATTATTCAATTTGTAAAATAAAATCAACAATGACTTTTAAAATAAAGGCTAAAGCTTCTTAATTAGATCACCTGAAAAGCAATAGCATCATATGAAGCTACTTAAACCTAAAGGTTAGAAAAAATAGTAGCTTCATATGTGGAACCTTAATTAAAACTAGAACAACATCAAATAACTAACAAAGAACATATGAAAGTGCAAAACAAGTCATAGGAAAACATAAGACAAAGTTAACTTCAAATACTCATCACCCCAAAAAACCTAATTAAGGACCACCCAATGTTGGATCTTGAAATGTTGTCTTCAAATACATGATCTTCTGATCATCACTTCGGAGACCTAAGAAGAAATCTGCATTATCGCCATGATGAAGAAAATTCATACATTGGTAAATAAATCCTTCTCCTTGTTGAACAATAGCCTCAATATTGTATAGAGCATCTGAGACATCTTTATACTTATTACCACTCCCTTGCTTACAATTAGTTTCAATAGACATTTTCAACAACTCTATATAAGAGTCAATGTTACTACTCTTGTTTTTTTTTAAGTTTACTAGCACCCATCACTCTTACGTTTCCCCAACGAGGTACTTTTAGGAGGTGAAATGCTCTGTTCATCATCCGAATTATTTATTCCCCTACTTATTTCCATATCTCCTATATTTTCATCACTGTCCCCGAACCTTTCCTCATTTTCTTTACCAATTTGTTCCCCGCCTAATCCGGGAGAAAAACTCCATTTGCTAGTAGCAAAAGACCCTGAAAAAAGTGCCCGTAACTTCTCTAGATGAGGCAATGGTCTCCTTAGGAATCTCGCTGGCATACCTTTATGTTTCTGCATAAATGCACAAAATTTCGATTAAATAAATTTTAAAATAAACTAGCATTGTAGAGGTCATAATGCAACAAAATGGAAAAACAAAATGTCGTACATTTACAAATATATTCCACCTATCATATTTTTTAACTACAGGACAACTAGTAATAGGATCAAATGTAAGACCGGTCCAATTGAGTTCCATTTCATTCCAAATTTTGAACCTTTTCCTTAAATCATCCCAATGATTTCTTGCTTGTTTAATATTGAAATTCTTCCCACTTTTAACATTCAAAGTACTCACTATTCTATCCCAATTAACCTTTGATAGTCCACCTGCTTTCATCTCCAAGCATATGTCCAAAAAAAATTATGTACTGTCATCAGACCATGCTACCCTACCAGCCATTACACTATGATCAAGAGCACTTTAAAATTATTAGTTTCATGCATGAAAGATATAAATAATCAAAATAAGTACATAAATATATACGTACTACTTCTAACATCTATTGAGAAACTAGGACCAAACTAGGACCACAAAACATGGATGTATTTGATCTAGAAAAGAACTTTGCATTTTTTGCCGCATATCATTGCATATCATAGCAACCCAGTTAATATTTTTATTCATATGTTGTTTGTTTGGCCAATTTTTTATACTGGGCTATGCTACTATACTTTGTACCCATGCTGTTTTTCACTAATTTTGCACTAATTTTCACTATAACCCAACTCTAAACAATTAAACCCATAAAGTAAACAATTCACAAATCACAAGTATTGTAAAAGTTAAATAACAAGGTGACAATCGATAGATAATTTAAAAAAAATATATGATATATCATCTTATCACCTACTATACAATCATCAATTTGACTAAACACTTATATAGCCTATAATCCAAAAAAGTGTCCTTTTTTTAAGGTATTGTCTATGCAAAGTGTATTATTTAATTAATTGTAATAAAGTTAAAGTAATGCTTTGCATACGTCAGTAGGTATGTATTTGTTTAAGTTTGATTTCCTTTTTAATTATTCCTTAAAGCATGAGTAAGTGACCATTATTATTATTGCACTCCGTATTATTTATTAATTATGATATTGTGTCAAAAAAATGAAAAAAAAAAAACTATTAGTTGGTGAGTTCCTAAATTTATATATATTATTAGTTTGAAAGTTACAGATCTAGTAATCTGGTCCACTTCACCAACTCGTACTTTATATTTTTGTCATAATTTCTCATCATCAAGCTAATAGGGAACATTTATATATAATGTTCAGGATTTTATTTTTATTTTTATTTTATTTTAAATGCAATCATTAGTAATATTTATATATATGAGGTGATTGGACTATAGAGAAACACAAGTTTAAATGGTCCTATGGACAAAAAATTTCATATATTTATGATTAGTATATTATATTGACCTTTATGGAGTAATTAAGGCTTAACGATAGTCAATTCAAAAACGACATTTAACTAAGCAATTGGATCAATTTGACATAAAATCGCATGAAATTAGATGATTCTCATTGAACTTTAAAATGCTTTAACATGACTCTGAGTCATTATAAACCACATCGGCCTACCAACAAAAGGAATTTTGTAGGGAAGTTTAATTGCTCGGTCTTTTATGGCCAGGTTTACCAATTACCATATTGATCTTTCAACAAAATAGAGATTTATTAAAGAAAACAACAAAAGTATCATATCTAATTATATACGTAGTATATTTTTTGAGTTATACTACTACACTACATTGTGATGTGACTATTTATGTTGTTATTATTACTACAACTTCCATTCTTCTTTTTTTATTATTCTCCACTTAAAATAAAGAAAAGGTCATCATTTTTAAGAATAACAATAACAAAATAATAATTGAAAATTAAATAATTCCTCCTTAGATAAAAATTCAATTGAAACAATAATATACTCCGTAACTAGTAAATTACCCGATGAAGCGATGATTGTAAACAAAATTATGAAAATATAATAAAAAAAACAACAAAGAGTTAAGGTATTTACCTGTCGACGGGATTGTATACGAGCAAGCTACTACAATGACCAACAGAAGGACAAAATTTGGGAGAGATTGATGTGTTGTAGGTAAGAGATATTGCAATACGAAAAAATATATATATACACAAAAAAAAATTGTAGTACCAAACTACCAATACTCTCAATTAATATTTTTGTCAGTCAACCCAATTAGAGAAAACCCAATTCAGATTTCTAGAAAATGAAGTGTAAAGTACCAACAATGGTGAAGAGTGTGAAGTAAACACAAAAAACAGAGAGGAGAGAGAAAGTGTGAGTACAGAAAAACAGATAGAAGGTTGTTATGGGAAAAAGGAAAGCAAGGTCAAAAGCTAGAAAAGTGAAAAATTAAAGAACAGAAAGCAAAGTAAAAAAAAAATTAGGGGGGCAATAATATTAATGGAGGAAAAGTGGTTACAATTGCTGGGGCGGTTTTCCACAATTTTTGAGACATTTGTCCGATTTATAAGGTCCTCTGTAATTACAATGGTCACTGCAACCACCACTTGGCAAACTTAAATTTGGCCAATAGCGTCCTATGCTTTGCCCATTCACCCATGCCTCACCTTTTCCCATCCCGGTGAAGTCCAAAGCAAGTGGGTCATTCCCATCAGGAGCATTGAACGATGTATTTATACACCCATTTCATTGAATGATGTATTCCCATTCACCCATTGAACGATGTATTCCCATAAAGTGGGTCTTCTTGAGGCAACCATAATTGTATTTATACACCCATTTCATATAGAGGAGCCTAACGCGAACATGGGTCGGAAGTAGAGCTGTCAATTCGGGTAAACATGTCGGGTAAGTGTGGGTCGGATTAATTCGGGTTGGATCATTTCGGGTTGACTACATTAATGCACATGCACCTACAAAGTAGTAGTATTCGTAAATAGTAATTACTAAATTTGAATAAAGAATGCACATGCATCCAAAAAGTAGTGGTATTCATAAATTATAATACATTTGATAATAGAGAATTTTTTTGAAAATATTTGAATAAGCTTAAATAGGAAAATAACTCATAGAATTAGGGAAAGAAAAAAAAATATGACGTAATCCTAGATTGCTAGTTAATTTCGGGTCAATAACAAGTCGGGTTGATTTTAGGTCGGGTTAATGATAGATCGGGTTGAATTCAGGTCGGGCTAGTAATAGGTCGGGTTAGTAATAGGTCAGGTTAAATTCGGGTCGGGTTAGGAATAGGTCGGGTTGAATTCAGGTCGAGTTAAATTCAGGTTTTGACGGGTTAAAACGGGTCAATGTGTCTTTCCCACACAACCATACACGCATGAATAAAAAAAGGTTCAATAGAGGAACAAATGAATAAAAAAACATTTAAACGCCCTAAACAAGTTCAATATAAAAGCTTAAATAAAAAAAGGAAAATGAAATCTAATAATCACACCTTTGCTCCATCTTCCAGAAACAATCTCATCTTTTGAAATTTTAGAAACAATTCCATTAACAATAATGATATTATTATTATTTAATAATAATAATATAACATAATAGTAATAATAATAATATAATATAATATAGTATAATATAATAATACAATATAATATAATATAATATAATAATAATATAATAATAATATAATATAATATAAATTAAATGATAATAATAATAATAATATAATGATGATGATGATAATGATAATGATGATAATAATAATAACAATAATAATTAAACATTAATATTGATTAACATTAAAAGTAGAATATTGAAATAATTAAAATAAGGTCAAATCAGAAAAAAATAAGTTTAGATCAGATCAGAAAAAAATAAGTTCAAATCAGATCAGAGCAGAAAAAAATAAGTTCAGATCAGATCAGCTAAAATCAGGTGAACTAAACAACCTCTAAATAAAGTAAGAGATGTGGGGTACTCCAACATGTGGGCCCAATCGTCCTGATATCCACAGCCGTCCTCAGACATCACAGTCGTCCCCATAAGTGGTCAATGAAACACCTACCCTTAGTAGTGTCAAGTTTTGACAGTTCGGTTTCGGTTCGGTTTGAAATCGGGTCGGTTTGAAATCGGTTCAAGTGTCTTACAGGTCGGTTTCAGTTCGGTTTAAATAATTATCGGTTCGATTCGATT